AAATGAGATAAAAGTCATTAACGTGTATATATATATATACTCATAACGTGATTTTTCTATAACGTGTTCTCCAATTTCTTATGCATTTAGGCTAGAAGTCAATATTTTGGTAGTGTAAACTGATAATATAATTAATAAATACACGTTAATTTTCAACGGGTTATAAATATGTAAATAACACGTGAAAAGAAAAACTGTCCAATTAGACGAGCATCAACAGAGATGGCTCTACAGGTTGACCCGTTTTTATCGGATGAAGTCTTAACTTAAATCTAAATTGAAAGCATCGATGAATTTAATTACACGATACTTTAGAAAAGTTTTATGCGTATTCAAGATTTTTTAATTGTCACAATATCTAGTAAAAATAGAGCAGCCTATGTAAAAAGATAGGACTGTTTTCTGGGGAAACCTCTTCTAGCGCCAAGATGGCATTAAATATTGTATATTAAGAAAATGTACGGTAACTGGCCATTGAAGAGCCAGTTACCGTACATTTTAACGAAGATTCGAAAAGAACGTCTTCCTTTGCAAAACATCAAGAAAGAGAAAGGATGGGAGCCGAGGATGATCCATTTTGCTCAATTATGTCGTACACTGAGAGAAAGTTATCGAAATGACTAAGTACGTTTAGTCGACAGCATTTCTTCAGTTAAAATTTACATGGTTTTAAGTTAAACGTACAGTGATTTATTGAAACATATATTTATAATATTAACGAATATTTTTGCGAGGTGATAAATATTCGGTTGGCAGCCCGTGATCGTCGCATATAGTTGAGTCAGGAAATATTTCTTTAGTCAACACTTTTTTTTGTCACAATCAGTGTAAACCGGAACTAGATACACTGGATGTCCGGTGAGTCCAGTTCGACTCACTCATTATTATGATGCAATGTCTGCATTGTGTATAATGTAATGTAATATCTACACTACATATAATGTAACATAATACGCGTTTATATCATAATCATACTCGCAGTATATCATAATAATATAACTCGATCATATTACGATTGTAACACGATAACACGAAGTTATAAGAAATCGAAAATCAAAATTAATGAAAACCAATACAACGACACGGCAGATTATAATATATGAATAATAGCATACGGTACTTCTGCATCTCTAATTGCAGGTTTACGGTGTGCTAATTATTACCTGCGTCCGCGGTTTATTTAATTTCACATTCATTTTGGTGTTGACCAAGTGTCGTATCGTTGTCTGCGCGATATCGAATTGCGGCATAATTTAATTCGCGATTTAATCGATTATGCAACAGCGCGTTCAACTCACACGTGTCGTCACGTTTTAAAATGCGATGCCGCGCGACGCATAGAAAACGCAAACGTTATCGGTACTTTTACGAGGCGCACAATTTATTCACCTTTACGACCGGCGCGAATCGAGGAGCGGTGGTTGCGTTACGCGCCCACTCGGCACCCTCGGCGTTTGTGCATTTCGCGGCGCTGGAGCTCGATAAATATTCACCCCACACGGGGGTGAGAGGGGCACGCACCGTCTCGCCGAGCGGTGACGGCTGCCGGCGCGATTTATCGACGAGTGCTCGGGCACTCGATTCGAGGAGAGATGACGGACGGTTGAGAGATGCCACTGTAGCGCCGTATTCTCGAGATAAGGATGCTCGGAGGAGGAGGAGGAGGAGCGACGCGATGCGTCGCATCGGTGTCTCCTCTAGCCGTGTTACGCGACAGGAAAATCCACCGAGCTTTCCCTTCTCCGGAAAACGCTTATCGCGCTGGATGTATGCACGTGAGCGAGAGAAACAGGATGTCTTTCTTCTCCTCTTTCTCCCCCCCCCCCTCTCTCGCTCTCTCTCTCACACACACACACACATACACGTTCTCTGGTTCCTGTCACCCGGCGTTCCGGACGATCGATCTTTGAATCTCGCTTACATGCTTGTCGGCTTAATCGATCTTCCATCGATAAGGGACTACGTTTGCGCTGTCTCGCATGCTCGTCGCCGTTTATCCACTTCGACATTAGGACGTACTATACACTCGCGAAGCGCCGCCACGATTGTTTACGGTGTCGACATCCGCTCGTACTTTATCGACGTCCGACGTGTACGTGACTCCACTCCGGAGCGTGATTTACAGTTATCGTAAATTGACGGATCCTTACGATCCGCCGTCATTATCATTAACGCGGGCGCTTCGAAGACTTGGATTAATCATCGATAAATAACGCTAGCGGCGTTAGCCACCTTTACTGCCCGCAATAGCAATAATGCCGGCGGCAATATGACCCAAGTTTGTAGACGTTACATCGTTGTTTACGGATATCGTGATATATGACGGCGCTGCAATTCGTTATTCAGCCCGCTGCATTATTCCGGTATGTATGTGCGAGCGCGCGTATACGCGCGCGCACGTATTTCGGACGCTCTTAAGGGACTCGGTCCTGGAGGACGATAAATTCTGTTGCTCTCACATTTTCCCGTGACTCCCCGTACGTGCGAGGATAAGGATAAAGCGGACGATGAAAGCTCGCGGCATACTGAGAATCCTCGCTCTTATTTATTTTCTTTCCTCCCCGCTTGCCATTCGTCATGCCGCCGCGCCGTGCACCGGAACAAAATGAAAAGCGCGCCGGAAATAACCGCGCGAGTCACGTGGAAATTACGAAGGGACGAGAGGCATCCTTGTCCTCGGGCCGACAGATTCGTCGCACTCGCCGCGTGCGCGGGATAAGACGTCGATCGGAGAGAATATCGTTTTTCGCGACAGGCGAACAAAAGTCTGATCCGGGAGGCAAGAAATGGAGCGAATTAGCAGGAGGGATAATCCAAGCATTTCTCGTCCCCTTTGCGACTTGCTTCTCCTCGCGTAGCAATCGAGTGGTTACCTTTATACAGAGTGAGTCGTAAAGGTTGTCCTAACCCTGTATCTTAAGAGGTGAATTACCGACCGCAACTGTAACCAACTCGGAAAAGAAACAGATAAAAGCTCGTTCTACATGTCTCAATCATGTAATATTAATTATTTCTCGAGATATGTAATTAGATATTACACGATTGAGACATGTAGAACGAGATTTTATCAATTTTTCCCCGAGTTGGCTACAGTTGCGGTCGGCAATTCACCTCTTATGGTAAAAGGTTGGGACAGCCTTTACGACTCACCCCGTATATTTTTTATGTTATACGCGACGTCAAATTTATTGCCGTCGCAATATAAGTCGTCTGTCACCGAAGTTGGAGGTGCCACGGGAGTCGAGTCACGCGAAAGCGAGCCTAAGCAAATCGATTGGACAATTGACGGCGACGTTAAGAGCGGGACCGTGCCAATTTTCCCATGGCGACCATCAACCTGTTCGCCTCCTCCGAGTTATTCCCTCCTCGGTTCTCCCCCGGGGGAGGGAGGGGACAATGGAAGGCCGTGAGAATGAGAGATAAGGGCGATTAGAGCGGGAGTTCCGGGCGCGGGAGAAGCCCAAGTCCGTAAATCAGGATGTTACTCCGCTTGATCCGATTACGAGCGATTATATTCCACGCGGAGTCTCCGCGAGACTCGTCGTCGCTCGGTTCTTTTACGCTAACACGACCGGCTTCACCGATTGCTCCTTATTTTTTCTCTTTCTTCGTATTTATCTTCGTTGCCTCTATCTGTTTCCCATCCCTGCTTCCTGCGACAGTACCGCGTTACTGTTTCTCTCTTCACCAGAGCGGTGTGTGGGCTGCACAGTAGAACATTTTCATATGAAAAATATTGAGGTTTGAAGTCTAATTCGTATCGTATTATGTCTTTGAAATTTTCAATTATCCCGTCGGCGTTCAACCGTCACTCCAGCGTCCCCTTAATGCACTCGACGGAAATGTGTGACGGGAAATGTTTTCGTATAACAGACTTTCCCTTTTTTCTGAGATTATTTTTGTTTATTAAAGCGCCGTTTGCAAACGTAGAATTGAAAGAATCAATTCTGCTATAATTTTGTCCTCTTAATATCTCTTTTAAAGTACGGTTTGACCCCACTTAATCCTTCTCTCGCGTATAGCTCTCATAAAGCTCGCTCTTTTTTCTATGAGAGACTTCTTTATATCTTTATCGTCTTAAAACGTTAACGACTTAAAAGTGCTTGCGTTACTCTTAGCAACTTCGGAAAAATATCGACTTTAAGCCGTTTCGTTGTTTCGCAGCAGCTGCATTGTCCATTAAACAGCCTTAAGTCCGCCGGCTAGTGCCGTAGCTCTCGTAAAATTCCACAGGTCCTCGGGTACTTTTTTCTTACTATCCGTCTATAAAAACCGCGCTAGCTTGTCTCACATAACCCGGTTCGAAATATTAATCAGCCATTCTTTGATCATCTTTTCTGAAAATTAATACGCGTTACTTCAATCTGGTAATCTTTTTACTGTCCGATGATATTTCTACATTATCTTGAACGGCATCCATATTTTTATTTTTACAGATTTATAAAACTTAAAAAATATACAAATTAATTAAAGAAATAAACATAGATGAAAATTAGAAGCCGAAACACAAAAATCAAATTTACATGTCGCTTCACTCCATTACAGTCAGAATGCACAGACGGGGAGAATTTTCTCTTAAAATTCTTAACTTTCTAATTTTACACTTTATATTTCGCTGAAGATGAACCAAAGATTAGGTTCGAAACGCTCGTTTTTCATGTTACTTATATTAATAATTTCTCTTTTGACTCTAATGTCCGTTTTATGTTGAGGATCGTCGGCAGTCATTTTTTATTTATTATTTTTATTCTGAAAATCATGTGATTGTAGGACAACATAGCATTTTGAAGAACTTTATAAGAGTTTTTTTAAAATTATTTTATCAGTTACTAGTAGAATGTATGGTAAAATTCTTCGAAATGCCGTGTTATCCCAAGATTACACGATTTTCAGGACAAATTTTAAGCGAAAATTCTCTCCGTGTACTTTCGAATTAAGCTTCATTTCAAATGCGTTGCGAATATGTTATATGTGTAATAGCGAAGAAACGATCAGACTTTAAGATTAATGGTGTCTCGAGTTAGAAGCGAGCTTGCGATACCAGTTTGCATCCAACCGCCAATAGCAGCAGGCGCAGGTTGGTAAGATGAGGCACGGCGGGATACGTCGCGATGTCATTCAACATATGGGAAATAGATAGAGATGTTGCCGGGTAACAATTGAGGATGCGCTGTCGCTTGGACGGATTGTGCGCGTTGTCATCCGCGACGAACAATGAGTCGTGGCCGACCTCCGAATATAGAGATGGAATTTGCGTGGTCTCGGGGCCGCATTTGATATCGGAAAATCAGGGCGAGGGCTGCAGAAGCCGCGACAATGCATTCCGAACATATTGCTTCTCAGGATTCTTTCTCGTCGTTGCGTCGTCGTGTTGGGTGACGTGCAATCGCACGAGTAGAGCTTTTATCTGCCGGGACGCGCTATTATTTCGCGCGTTTAATCGCGGAAACTTAGGGAACGAGCGATGACGAGTCGTCAGAGTTTTCGTAGATGTGCTTTTCACGGATACAAAGGTCGCTTCGTGAGTTTGAGCTTTAGTGAAATATTCTAAATATTATTTTTTTAAATATAATAAATATATCGTCACAAAAGTGCGAACACAAAATGCTCAAATACCTCAACATACGTATGATACATAAATTTTTGAAGGTAAAAAACGAACATCTCTCCTCAATAGATTTCGCGCTCTCACCGGTAATCCCAGAGTAAGAATTGCTGAGATTTATCGTTTTCTTATTCGGTAAATTATTAAATCTGACATTAATTCCGTGAAAAAGATGCGACTGCTATCTCGACCTCGATCGAGCGAGCTCCGTTTTTATTTCTGGTGTCAGAATCGCGCGTACACAAATCATTTGCAGGATGCGTCCCTGGATTTATGTCACTGCGCGGTTACGTAATGGTTTCGCCTGACATTGCGTCACGCGGTTAGCGCCTATCGAGTTCTACCTATCTACGGATACATTGGTTCGTCCTCTCCTTCTGCTTATCCCGCTTTCTCTCTCACCGTCTCTCTCTCTCTCTCTGCCTCTGTCTCTTACGGAAATGCCATGGCGATATGTCCCGGTTAGCCGTGTACTTCGTCTTCGGACAGAATTTTCGATCGGGTAAAGTCTCCACGTTCCTATCGTGCCGCGGTTGTACGGTTCGATTAAATTTCCCCGGGACCCTGTGTGGTTACGGAAGTCTGGTATCTGGCATTCTCTCGAGCGTCCGTCCTGCGGTCAGTGGCTGTTATGTAATAAATGTTCGGCGATCCTTAGTAATTGCCCGAAGTTTAATCGTTTGAATACACGCAATCTTTGATCCTGTAACGCTGGTAGATTGGTAGAAATGCAACGGGAATCATTGAACTTGCTACTTATTTACAATTTTAGCATTTCTTTTTTTCATTCCGAGTTCACGCACGTAAGAAGAGGATAGGAGGTAGAAAATATCTAGGAAAATAATGTTTATCCACTTTGATGGCTAATCGCCACAAATACGTATAAATTTATCGAAATTTCTTTCGAATGTAAAAGTTAATACTTTTCTACGAATGTCAAACTCTCACGTAAGCCGCGTAGTTAGCTACGCCGCAACGATTTTTGTCTCTCGCCAGTCGCATGTAGCCATTTTCACCCCAATTGTCGCCCCACCAATTCTTCAGAATCCACTCGGTCGGTGTGTATCCGACGATGAGCATCGCGTGATTCACTATGTCCGAGCTGCACTGGTGGTCGTCGTAAACGCCTTTGCTATGAGTGGAAAAATACAGATTAACGTCTCAAACTTCCTTGTACAATTTCAAGAGATAGCATTAGATTATTGCCAAAATATAAACGCGACTGTTATTATTAATGCATGAAAAATTAGAGTCAGATCGCGAGAGCAGCAAAGCATTCCGGCGTCAAATCTGATATGAATATTATGGAGAAAGTAAAGGAGAGAGAGAGATGCATCGCGCACGAAAGACGTTTCCCCATTAGAAGACGTGAATCACCGACATTGAACTTGCGTGAACTATTGTATACACAAGAGCGCGCAATTATTAATGCACCACGTTTGCATATTGATAACGCGTGTTTGCGATCGGCATCCTGTATTTATTGCGAGCTCGCGGAATAACATCTCGGGATATCAATCGCTTCCCGTTTGCCACGCGTGATAAACGATTTTCATGATTTCTCGCGGATATTTATTATCCGCCGGAAATGAACAATGGGAGAGGAAATAGTCGCGCCTTGGCATTGTGGGCCCTTTATAGAACGGCACGAGTTCAATGACTGACCGGTAGAATGCTTCGGCGCTTCGAATGAACGAGAGTCATCGTGTCGACGGTATGCTAAGGTTATCAAGCGATTGGACCAATTTCTATCTACGACGGGGTTCCGGGCAAAATTTCCAATCTTCTCGCCTTTCATGTAAACATTGCACACGTAATGCTGCAATTTTAATTATCGTATCAAGAGTTTATCGGAGGGTTGTAGCCGCATGAATAATTTAATATTTATACAAATGGTATTTGGGCGATCGAATATTGCGATTTCAGTTCTTTTTATATCATTATAATATTCAAATATCTGAGAATTCGTTAACTGATGTAAGCTTTAATCGATACGTTGGATGAAGAACCTGCAGGACAGTCTGAATAATAATTCTCTTTCCGATAAACGATTAACAGATTCGATAGCGAATTTATTGTGTAATAATTTAAATATCGGACACAATATTGGAAATATTAATGAGTTCAACTTCAGACGGACGCGCATTTGTGCGCCGATAGTAATAATCGGCTGCCATCAAAGATGCGAATCCAGATTAAACGTTCGTTTGCGCGGCTTCTCGGGAGACATGGATCTATCGGGGAAACTTGGCTAAAATATCTACTAACATATTTATTGCCGGATTACGAGCGATTAGCTATCGAAGCGGAAAAAAACTGTTTGTCGCTGCCGCTCGTTGGTTATCGGTAGAATTTTTTCGAATTTACGCCAAATGCATCGCAATTCGCGCTGTTATTTTATTCTCCCCCAATCGCTCAGTCGATCCATAAATACTGGAAATTGCAATATCGCCGCGAGTTTGCGCAATAAATAGCAGGTGTCTAAAATTAGCGCATATTTCATGAAACGCGCGGCACGTTTTGTCAGCGAACTCGCGCGAACGTCACTTGCTCGTTAGTGGCAATTTGCACGGGCGCGTCTCTTTTTTCAACGCAAATAAAAATACGCCGCTCACTGATAAAGCTGGAATGTCTTCGGGCTGGCATTTATGGAGGCGGCTATGGGCCCGATCGTCGCCACTGCTACTTCGAGAGCCTTCTCATCCCGCGCCGGTAGAATTGCCCATGAAGTTATATTGACGACACTCTGGTCCCTCTTAAATCTGCACTCCCTTTGCTAGAATGATTCCAGTTGCATTTCGAGTGAAAATTTCACTTCAAAAATTTTAGAGAGTATATAATATTATATATAAAATGCTGTTGAATTTAAAGGAAATAGTTGCTTGAATGACGTCACGGGCTGCCACAAATATAAATAATTCGCACAATTGTATTTGCTGCGAATTGTGATTTTAAGCATTGAACTAAATATCCAGATTATTGAGACAACTATCTGATGTTGTTTCAACCATTTAATTCCAACTACACTGATATTGTTGATGCAGCATCATTTTTATAATATAAAAAGTAATAATAAAGTATAGTCGAGTGGCTAATAATGAAATTTAATTATTTTCAATAAAAAGTTGTTGTCGCGTTACGACGAAACAGTTGTTTTTAAAATGTTACAAATACTTCGCGATGAAGCTTTTGTTTCCAAAGTTCATGGTTAAGATTAACCTTATCATAACAGGCTATTATTGGAATAGCTATTTCCGTTGATACTACTGGCATAAACTGGTCATTATAAAAATGCATGGCGTTATCTAATTTCCGAGTGCATATATGTAAATGGAGGTCTGTTGAGAGAAACACGACGGAACGGAGGAAAAAAATAGATAGCTTTCGTGGAAAAATAAAGCAGCTTTGCGTCAGTCCAGTAGCAAGCTGAATGCATTTTGTTTTCGATCGAAATCAAAGTATTATAAACAGGAAAACACGGTTGAATTAATCTCAACGAAATGTCAATAGAATGATATTGCTTGATTAGAGGAAATGAGTGCAATAGGAAGAAAAACAGACAGTCAACATCCGCGACAATTTTGTCTACTAATGTTTGTTGATACATTAAATTGGAGCGTGCCAGTCACACGCGCCTGGTTGCATCAACTGAACTTCGTATTCATGATATCGTGGTTTTAAATTAAGTCAGATAAGCGCGTCCATACTTTACACTGCAAGTGAAAGAGTAATAGTCGTTATACTTTCTTAAAATTCTATGAAACATTTGGCCCTCGCGCCGCTCGCCCGTATGACACAAAGTGTATTTACTATTAATAGAGGAACTGGCGGAGTCATCGTCACGAAGCCATTCATATTACGGAAGTTTATCGCGTTAACGTGGCTGGCATAATTCGGATTCTCCAACACCGAAATCTTCCACGAATTTTCTGACATTTCTGACTGGCGGAGACCCGCGAAATAATGGAAGAAACCTTGACGTTTACCTCTTTATTGCGATAATTAAATTCGCACTGTCAGCGCCTTCGCTCGTACTCGCTAATAATGCATTATGGGCACGGTAAAAATCCAGAAATTTAAGCCTCTTAATTTGGTATTATTACAATTTATAGCACTGCGATTCTATGAATTTTTCACGACTGATTAATTGTCGTCGGTAAAAAAAAATTTGCGCGATCACCTGTCGGAAATAATTCTACAAAATTCTACAAAAAATTAAATACAACTGTTAGAATCTAAGAAATTCTACGTAAATTTAAAAAGTTATAAATATCAACATGAAAATGCTAGAATTGGAACACTTTTGTTAATTTTTCTAATATTCAACATCAAAAATTTAAAACTAGTAAAGATAGAGGGAGGTCCAGGTTCAAACCCTGGCCGAGGTGATATTTTTTCGCAATAAACTTTCTTTCTCGAATGAGAATGCCGAATACAAAGTGATAAAGCAGTAAGAACCAACACAGGATGTTGGCGTCTAAATAATTAAAATTTCAAGTCTATTGCGAAAAATAATATCTCAGCCAGGGTCTGGACCTGGGCCTCCCTTTCGCTAGGCGGGCGTCTCGCCGAGACTACTGAAGTTCTTTTTAAAGTTTAAAGGGCGCCGAACGTTTTATAATGCTTTGCAAACGCGAAAGCGACTCGAGGGTCGCGTTTTATAAACGGTGCCCCGACGGAATATTGGGTGTATCGTACGCTCGACAGTTGGAAAAGTGCAGTGCGTACCTCGCCGTAGTAGGGATACGCGGATTTAGCCATGAGACCTTTCGACTTTTCCAAATATTTCAAAGTGTTCCTCAGGGAACCGCCGGTGCAGCCGAGGTTCCCAGTCGCCGTGCTGCAATCCACCAGCTGTTGTGCGCTCAAGGGTAGTAGCATGCCGGTCCGCTTAAAAATCTGTCCCTCTATACTTTCCGCGATCGAGTAAGCGTAACAACTCCCGCAGCTCCGTTGGTTCACGGGCGAAGTGATAAAACCGTGTTCGCGCCAATCCAGACGTGCTGGTGTGTCGCGGGGATTTTTCAGAACCGCCGATACTATCGGCTCGGTCGGCAGTCGACGCCTTCGACTTGGTATCAGTTTCACCTGAGAAAAATTGGCAGAAGGAGACGCGGTCGAAACGATTTTAGGATCATTTACACTTCGTGAATTATAATTTTAAGGGGATGCTGGAGTGATTCAGCACTTTTCGTACCTTTTGTATCTAGAACTGTCAATTCGTGAAAACATTTGTGTAATATATTATACAAATTATGTAGCTGCTGTGTGCAGACCGACTAATTTCCATTAATCGGATTAAATCAGAGAGCAGCATAGTATCATTGAAACAAAAAATCTGTTCCTTCGAATAAGTTATAGGTTACCTAAATAGACTTTTGTTAGACTTCGAAACTTAATTTTAACGATGCTGCGCTCTGATTTAATCCGATTAGTGGAAACTAGTCGGTTTCTAAAAGCTACACCCAGAAAAAAGATTTATTTACGTTAAACGAATGAGATATGTTGAAACCATGTTTCTTTGAATCTATTAAAGTTTTATTTACTTCTACTAAAACATTTGCCAGATTTGAAGAAATAGATATGAATTTTCTGAAAAATTTCAGTCAAGAGGTTCAGAGTTAAAGAAATAATTTCTTTGAAATTAAAAAAAGTCTAGTAAGTTCAAGATTCAAAGAAAATTTGTTTGATTTCAAAGAAACGTTTTTCTAGGTGCATTTAATTTGTGTATTACACGAATGTTTTCATGAATCGGCAGTTCTAGGAGAAAAAGGTGCAAAAAGTACAGAATCACTCCAGCGCCCCTTTAAAGGCGTTATTTGGAGATCAAAAGAACGAGAGGGAAAGAGAGAAAGAAGGGGGATTTGAAAAAGGGATTAAAAAAATTGAAATTCAAAGTTTTCAACGGTCAAACTTCGATGAACGAGCTGAATTTGCGCAAGATGGCACGTATGTTGTTAATTACGAACCATTTCGCGCATATACTGTCGAGTGGTGAGATCGGCAATGTGATTATCCCGCAGTGTGTAACTGTGATGTCCAGCGGCGGCCAGTAGATTGTGTTTATAAATTTCCACGAGATTCTGCTCCCAAGCCGCTCGCTTCGCGTTTTCCAGGTTTCTTGCGTACGTCTTATTAAACTGCGTCTGTTCAACCGCGGTAAAATACGACATGCATGATATAGAAATGAAAGTTGTAGCTGACAACGAGACGATACAACGGTTTTTCGTTCTTTAAAATTTGATCATTTTTCAGTGAAAATGATCCACCCTGTATACTTTGCATAGAGGGCCGATCTATTAGAGACTTTGCAACACCATTTATAAAACATATGTTCTCGTTATTATTAGATGCACGAAGAGCATTAATGATTTCAATTTTTAATTAGGATCGAGTGCTGAATCTCAATGTTGATTAATATTAAGGGCATTATTGAATCTACGGATTAATTTTATTACCGTTGTATAATTAATTAGCGTTGAACGAAATATGCTTTATCTCATATTCATGCGCTTGATTGCACACATTATTACCAAGCGATATAATTAAGGAAAACTCTTACATTTCGTGCAACACCGTTTTGAGCAATTCTTGTCTAAAATTAATTAATCGTTGTTATGAAGGGAATTAAAAATCACCACTGAGGGCATTGTGGTGTACAGATTTACGGCATTACTAGGCATTACTAGGCATTTTTTGGGCATTAGTTTGGACATTAGGCCTCTTTGGGACATTATAAAGATAAAATAAGATAAAAGAAGATAAAACAAGATAAATAAGATAAAATAAAATAATAAGATAAAGTAATGCCCACTGGGCATTAGTGTACTCTGGGAAAAAAGACAGCAACCCATTTTGGGGCCCACAATTAGTAATCGAATTATTTGGATTATTCGCAACTCTACTCTGGGAAAAATTTTGACCCTTTTTTTGTAGTTATGCAACTTAATACGACATTAACATTTCGGTTAGTGCCTCTTAAGTGAAAATTGCCTTTGCGTTACCGAATATCGACAGAACTAATTGAGAGAATTGATTAGTATTACTTTAAAATCGTGGATATAGATAGAATAGTTAATTGCGAGTTTTAGTTATGCGGAGTAAAATTTGTATTAGAGTCACGAACAATTCAAATCATTCTATTGCTAATTATGGGCCCCAAAATGGGTTGTTAGCTGTCCTTTTTTTCTAGAGTACAAGATTTTGGTCATCGGTTTCCCCGTCGGAGAATACACAGTGGAAAAGTCAACCTCTTAGAATATTTCTATTGTTATTGAAGGACACGTTACCTTATAGGTGTGCCAATAATCGTCGAGCCTTTCCGACATATTCGGCGGCAAAGTATCCCCATCGAACGTTTGAATCGCGCGTGTCCCAGGCAAGATTAATATCGAGAGCAGCGTCGCGCACAATCGCGAGCACATGGCGACCCGCGGTGAATAATTTACGGTCCTTAATTAATTCGCGCGGCAGACCCGAGCGGCGAATGTCTTGACGTACCTTATGATACTGCACGAAGTCATAATGTGTAGTAACAATCAGTGTCAGCGCATTCTCTGAATTACATCACCGGACAATCGCTCGCGTAATGCTGATGTATGTTTGTTGCGTCAAATATGCGTTCAATGTCGTGCTTTCAGGGCTGACGTCTCTTTTTTCAACTCCTCGTATTTGTGTCCTTGGTCCATAGCAATTGAACAGTTCTTAGAATGATTGCTAATTCGAAAGGGAAACAGTTTGCGGTTATTACAATATGCTACGTACGAGGCAGTTTGGCTCGAGTGCGTTTTCGAATATTATTTCGAGAGAGAACAGCTTCTTCTTTCGTCCAAAGAACTCAAAATATGTATCATTAACTCGGGTATACTTGAAAGTTTTTTATTTTGAGAATGTTTCGTTCTTATAGACGTAATAAATGCAAGAGAAACATACGTGGATAAAAGAAATTGTTAATGTCTTTGAAATAAGGTGGCCTTCTAGAAGTCCGATGGACAAATACGTATATCCAATTATGAACAATATTTTTATTCCGAACGCAAACTCAACTTCAAATAAATACGTTCTTATAGAAGAATGATGGATAAATCTGGGTTGATAAATTATAACAAATGTTATTAACTAACAAGAATATTCTTCAATGTCGCCAGCAGTAATTAATAACTTCAGTGTTTTCTTGACTATATCTGGCATTTTTAATAATACAGAAAATTTATTGCGAAACACCAATTCGACCACTGAGGCACGTGGTAATATTTGTCCCGATAACAGTGAAAATGATATCTTTGCGTCTATTTTTCGACTTCAAACTGCGCTCCGATTCGGGTTGTCGGCAGTACACAGAACTGTCGGTACGCAATTTTTTCAGTATCCCTGCGTTGTTATTAATATGAAAAATTTGTAAAATTTTTCTGGAATAACATCGCAATGCACATACAATTTATTTTATTGTAATTTGATTCATTTGAAACAGCTTATGGCTCAAGGATTGCCGTAATATTTTAACGCGCGTTCGAAATTAAGTATAAACGAGATATCGCTTTCTACCCGTAACAAACATTTCGAAAAATGTACGAAAGCAAGTAAAAATCTTAATTGCAGAAACCCGAGAATATAAAAACCGTCATGAGTGTAATTAATTTTATTATAATTTGATTAATCTAAAAGCAGCTTATAGCTCAAAGATTGCCGTAATAATTAACGCGCGTTTGAAATTAAGTATAAACGAGATATCGCTTTCTACTCGTAAGAAACAATTCGAAAACTATACGGGATCAAACAAAAATCTCAAATGCAGGAATCTGCGAATGTTAAAATATGGAAAACATTGTTGCGTGCGTAATTTATTTTATTGCAATTCCATTAATCTGAAACTTTAGCTGATAGTTGAAGACCGTAATATAATACTTTAACGCACATCTCAAGTCAGATATAAATGAGACGTCACTTTCCATCTGTAATCTCGAAAGATATACGCGAGCACGTAAGGTCCTACGTACAATACGAGAAACATTAGGAACAAGAGTAAATATTAAATATTAAATATTAAATATTAGAACAGAAAGAGAAGAAGAAAGCGTAAACGTAACGCACTGCGAAAAAGAACGAAATGCAGTGATAACTCGAAATATTTATATACAATATGCGGATTTAATATTGATTCCTCTATTGTGCGCACCTAGAGGCCTCAAATGCAAGAACCCGAAAGTGTGTCAAAGTTACGGAACGAGCGCAATCCATTGTTATCATTTATTGTCTCGCTGACTTTTCATCGATTTCCGCGAAGGTCGTCGCGAAAGCTGGGCACTTGGCGGGCTTGCCGCTTCAAAGAATGCCGCCGGTCGACGCGCTTCCGCGAGATGGCAGCAGCCGTAAGTGAAACGCCGCCGTCGCGAAACCTCCGCGGCGGTCCCGGCGCGGCCGGACGGTCCGTCCGCGTAGTACCGATACGCGCGCGCGTCACGCTCGTCTCGTCGCGCCGTCGTCGCGTCGCGTCGGCTCCTCGCGTACAACCACGCGCTCATCTTCCCGCGAAGCGTGTCGCGCCGCGCGCCGCGTGTCGTTGCCGTCGTCGCTGCCCGCGCCGCCGAGATAAATCCCGTGGAACGCGAGCGCGCCGAAGGGGCGATGGAACGTGCGTCGCAACCGTGGAGGAACGTCACGGATCCGCGCACGCGTGCACGCGCGGCCGCCGTCGCGAACGCCGACAACTCGCGCGAGAACTCTTGACACTCGCGCAAAATGGGAGTCTCTTCGCGGTGCTTGTGATCCATCAGGAAAAGAAAAGAAACGGCGCACCGTGAGTCCATCTCCCATACACCTCCCGCGCGTCATCCGCCGTAAGAAGAAACGTCCCAGCGATTCCGTTCATTGTCGTGTCGTGCGTTTCTCTCTCTTTCTCTTTCTCTCACTCTCTCCCTCCCTCCCTCCCTCTCTATCTCCGAGAACACATTCCTCTTTCTCCGTCTCCGCTCCCCGTGCTCCTTATCTCCGCTTCATCATTATCTTTCGCGGCGCGCCGACGCCGAAACTTTGGAATACGCGCGTCCCCGGGGTTCACCCGGCTAGGCACGCCGCGGCCTCGCGTCGCGCGCGGCACATTCGAAGCGTCGGCGATCGCGGCCGCGACGATGGACGAGTCCGGGGTCGACATGGGTTTCGATCTGACAGCCGCGTTCGCCGTCACCGATCCGGTCGCCCACCACGCCGTCGCCGGGGATTACGACGACGACGACTTCGAGCAGGCCCTCTCCCTCCTGTCGACCTCGACCAAGGAGCTCATGTACTACGAGCTGAAGAGCCGCGCGCCCGACACCGGCAGGTACGTTCATCCGCGGCGCCGGCACTCGGCGTATCTCGGGGGCGAAAGAGAGAGGAAGTGTCGCTTAATCGAGCACGCTAACGCGAGATAACGGTCCCGTTTGACATTGACATTGTTCCGGTGGACTGCTCGTAGACCCGGTAATATTCTCGATACCATCGGAATTCGGCGATTGACGCTAAAGCGCGACGTGGACTTTGACGAGATGACGCGACTTTAACGAGGAAGGGATATAAATTACTTGTATCAGCATCAATCATAATTATTGGACGTGAATTTTACTCGCGACGCGCGGCAGTCGGGCGGGATATATGCGTGCCGAGTGCGTGCAAACAGAAGGAGGCGGATAACTCCGGTTCCACGGCTCACGCGGGAGCATATAACGCGCGCGCGAGAGAGACGCTTTTATTTGGAATACGATATCAGCGGGGCTGCAGTGAACGATTATAAAGCAGCGCGAGAGATACCGGAGACTTGGTTACGGGCTGAAGATTTTAACCTTTATCAGCCATTTATTCAACGCGTGTCTCTGCTTGTACCGTGTCTCGATATTGAATGTAAATTTATTGCCGGCGACGTAACGCGAAATAAAAGGGAGGTGAAAAGAAAGCAATTTATATCAAATGATTAGGTGATATTTGAATTTTTTTCTCGAACCCCGATTATGCTATGAAAGTTGAGTATTAACGCGATTAGAATGCAGGAGTGTGTATTCTGCAAGATTTTCGCTTTATATATCTTTAAACTTCTTCAAACAATTTTTGTCTGAAAAATTTCTCCATATCTTTCATATTTTTCGAAATATTTGCCCTGGGGCGATTAAAATGGGACACTCTATATAATAACAAGGGGTAAACCGCTGACCAAAATCATGCACACCAATGCCTACTAATGCCCAATGGGCTTTACTTTATCTTATTTTATCTTTCTAATGCCCCAGCAAGGCCTAATGCCCAAACCAATGCCCCAAAAATGCCTAGTAATGCCGCAAACCTGTACACCACAATGCCCTCAGCGGTTTACCCCTGCAGTAGCTTCTAGAGGTACAGCGTTACAAAGCATTTTCACAGCATAGACCTCTAAGTCCCCGCAAATATAAAATTTAGAAACCCTGGCTGAGGTAAATTTTTCGCAATAAATTTAAAAATTAAAATCACTTAGACACTAACGTCCTATCTTGGCTCTTAGATCCTTTAATCCATCGCATTGTGATTACACGTCAGAGCCTTATGAATTTTATTGTATAAAATTTCAAGCTGCATTTTGCAGGAAAATGCACTATACTCGTATTGAAATCAAAGGAAACTGTTATGTACACATTTTATGCATAACATATCAAGCGCACAGTTGAAGTCGATGATTATCTTTAATAGAGTAGCGTTATCTGATAGGCGCGATAGTTTGATCGTTGTTATATCGAATGGCGATAAGCTGAGAAGAGGGAACACGTGCGTATGAAACCACGTGGCTTTCGTAACGAGGAGTTTAAGATTATATCGCGCGTAAGTTATGGCAATGCTAATTGCATATGAATCTTTGCGCGCGTTTCATGGGAAACACTTTGATTGTTTAAGATTTAATTGACAAGATAAAGAAAAGAACAGACGGAGGAATAATTATGTTTATCGTACCAGAAAAGAGTTGCGTTGTTATAACAAAAAATATGAGACGTTTAAAATGTGCCAATCGGAAGTTAAATTTAATCAGATAATTCCTACTTTTTTTGGATACTCAGAACAGTAGCTTTTTAAATCGATGGGCTTACAACGTCAGGTTTGCCACTGGACATAAACATCTTTTACGATAAGCACTGCGTCGTCAAGATAATTTTTAACAGACGAAATTGTATTTGATGACACACTGAGAAAAATTTCTACTGGATAAGTCGAGTGTTTCCGATAGAAAATTAATCATCGGCTTTTTTTTTACTAAGTTTTCCGATTAAATTACAGATACATTCGATGAAATTTATCCAATAAAATTGCAGTTACCGATGCAATTTAATCGAAAAACCGATTATATTTTTCATCGGACATACGATTTAATCGAATATATGTTTGTTATATGTAACGTTTGTTAGTATGTAATTGAGTTGTCCGATTAGATAGGCCAGGATATCTTTCTCGGTGCGCGCGCGACGTATCGAGCACGATTTTCGTATGTAATTGGTAATTTTGGTATGCACCTGCAATTGCCAATTTTGCGAATTTTAGAAAAGTTAAAAAATCTTTATTCAAACCTTTGTCAGCTACATGCGACATACTTAAATATGATTAATCACTTT